CTTTACACAATAGTGCAATTCTGAATTGTCCATAGAAAAATACAGTTAGTTAATCATGTATTAGTTTATGGGAAAACACATCCCCGATGTTGAGTCGCATCTTCACATGGGTCGAGTCGTCTCTTCACGGGCGTTTGGTCATCAAATCACAGGCGTTGGGGCATCTGAAGTCTCCGTGACACGCTGGATACAAGCTGGACCTGACGAACCCCTATTTTCTCGGAACAAGCGTAACAGCAGAAAGGCAGATGCGAAATAATTAGCATAGCTGATGTTCATAATATTAATGCATTTGATCTGATTCAGTAGTAGTATAAAAGGTGAGCAATATGTGAATGAATGGTTAAAGAGATGCGTAACTTTATGGAAATTGTTCTCAGGTTCCGGCTCGTTCTCAGCATCCCTCAAGGAGCTCTGAGGAGCCGACGATGGAAGGAGACACTGTCCTGGGATGCCCGGGTAGAGTGCGTGGTGCCCTCTTCAAAATCCTGCTGTGGTAAACCAAAAACAGAGAGGTTATTTTACTAATGTACAGTGAGCATAAATTCATGTACAATACTGTTCAAAGTATTTACAATACACTTACAACAAGTACTCTACTTACAATACAGTCTGTCTGGGTTGTCAGTTCACAATGAGGCTCCATTTAAATTTGTCACACATGGTCTGTGAGAGGCAAGCAGACGTCCGGCAAAATCACAGTCTGAAAAAATAGAGTCTGAGATCCAACCACTCCAGCTCCAGGACGTAGATCAAGGTCAATTATTTCATTGGTCACACTGAGGCTCCTTTTACATGAAACTACAATGTTTAGACGCTATTGAGGCTCCTTTTACATGAACATCAAGTCCATACGCAAGCTCCCAATTTTGTCCAAACATCTATAGTTCATTCGCAAGCTCCCAATTTTGTCCAAACATCTATAGTTCATTCGCGAGCTCACAGTTGAAAAACAAAACATTGATAGTTCATAGTCTTGTGTCATAAAATGTGACACAAATTGTAAAGAATCAAATGTTCAGCCACTCCAGCTCCTCTATCTCCCCACGAAAAGTCCTCTTCTTGATGCCGTGGTCGAAGCAGATCTTATCATCTTTCTTAATGTCCGTGGTGGCCTGAAAGAGCAGGACGTGCCTGTCTCCCCCCTGAAGCTTCACTATGCAGTGGCATGGCTGCACGTTGCACTTCTTCTTTGAATGTGTAATCCATCTCCCGATGGTTTCCAGAGACGGGTGGCACTCACAGGGGAAAGTCTCCGCATCGATGCAGATTTCGTCAGGGCCATGTTTGAAGAAAAACAGGTTGCCCAGCTGGTCCTGCGTCTCTGCCATCTCCCTGCCCTCAGCACCTATGATCACCTTTCCGTGGAAATCACACAGGATGGAGCCCTTCCCGAAGGCCTTGGTTGCAACAACGCCTGTGGTCAAAAAGAGGGAGTCATTAATGTGCTGTTCAGTTATTATATTCATTTTATTTATGGATTTTACTGTGCTCATAAGACAGTTGTACATACCTTTCTGCTCCCCAAAGGCCTTCACAGCCAGACCCGACCATTTCTGCCTGGTCACCCCCTTGATGATGCCCGGGTCACTCTCCGCCTGTGCTCTGCTGAGCGGCCTCCACTTCGCCATGATGTCCTCTGGACGAGGATGATTGGCTGTCCAGCCCTCTGCATCTATGACTTTGGCCACCATCGCTGCAGTTGGGGCACGTCTTGAGAATTTTGCTGTCAAAGAGAACACATTTGAATTAAAATTCAGGTTCACACACTAGTTCAAAATGTTTCTGTTGGAGCAAATCTAATCATTGGATCATAAGGAAGTATATACACTTACACAAAAGATGTTGCTCCCGAAGGCTGTACTGCAGAGCCCTCCACTTATCATAAAAGACTCTGTCGGCGGGGAACCCAGCTTTTTCTCTCTGGGTCTTGTTGGGTGGTTTGCCAGTGATTCCCACAGGGAATGCCTGCAGGAAAGCATTAAAGTCCGGGGCTGGGCTGCCAACCTCTTCTTTCACCCGCCTTCTCTTCACTGCCTGGGTGCCCTCTTCACCAGAGTCGTCAGAAGAGGAGCTGCAATATTGAAAAGGTTTGGAGGTTACACACTAACGAACTGATGGATGAGCGTTGAGAGACATTATAATTATAACAGATTTATAACATAATTATATTACAGATAATTACATACCGTGTCAGGGAGCTGACAACGGCTGCTTCAGAGTGGCCACCGGCTGCTCCAGAAGGTTCACCCGCCGTGCTGGTGGACGCCTCTTCTGAGTCCAGGTCTGCCTGTTCAGGAGCATTAGCCACAAAAAAGTCTCTTTGGCAAAGCTCTTTCAGAAGAGCCAGTCTGGATGGTCTGTGGGGGTAACGTTTCACCATCTCCTTGTAGTCCCAGTTCCTGGCTTGCCGTGTCCACGCCTTGGCAGACTCCTTTGCCCTATTTGTTTCCTCCATCCGTTCTTCGGGTGTGTTCTTTTTCATACACACTCTGCTCAGATGCGTCGACAGCATCTCCTGTGGTTTCCCACACAGCAAGCAGTGAATGATGCGACGGTTGGATTTCTGGCTGTGAGACAAAGCAGACACACCAAAACTTACAAATCAAATGAATGAAGACAGTGAATTCTTAAAACAGAGGCCTAATGTGACCCTTGACCAGCAAAACTTAAAAAAGAGATAAAAACTTAAACCTTAAACTCTTAAGTATGCAGCAGAACAGGGCATTGTCCTATTACCATTGAAATGGAGCTCAACAGAAAATACACAAAAACACAAACATTACCGCTTCTCAGCTTGTCCTTCCATTTCAGCAAAATCCAATTCAGATTGTCTCAGCAGATCAGCAGAGTAGATAGATCCAGAGTGAATTCCTCAGCAGATCAGCACAGTAGAATCATTTGAAGAAAAGTGATTTCTCTAGCAGAATGCTTCCCAGATAAACCTCCTGAGTGTCTCAAACCAGCCAATCAGATCGCAGTATTATACAATGGGTGTCTGCCTCTGCGCAGACCTGATAATGGGCCATCATGAGATAGCTGAGCCATCAGTGAGCCATCAGTGAGCCATCAATGAGCCATCAGTTTTACTGCCTGAGCTTGTGAAATGAAACTGATTAGTTCTAATGGTTTTTAAATGGGCAATCATATTTACTGCCAGGGATACTTAAGTGTTTGTTGGCTTAAGAGATGGAATTAATTTAAGTCCTGAGGGAAATAATCTTTCTCAACTCTTAATCTTTCCGAACTCACTGATTAATTTGATGCTAAAAGCAGAAAGAAAGCTTGAGATTTGAGTTAAATAAAGACGTTTTAGCACAGCAGAAACAGTAACGACAAAGGCCTGGGGTGAGTTCAGCGGTGACAGCCGCAACTTTAGTCTGTATTATCAACTCCCTGAACAAGATACAGATAATTCAATGCAAACACATTAAAGTGCAGGTCTCAAGCTTTCAATAGACGTGCAAAACTTGTATGTAGCATAAACAATGTCTGAGATGCGTTCATTTTAATAAAATAATCCAAGTTGAAAACTGGTAAAGTGCTCCCAGATTTTCACCACGGCAAAGAGGTCAGCTAACCTGACGACGTCTCATTCTCTCTATGAACATGGTAAAGCCAAATAAGTGTTGGGGTATGAAAGCACACATACCCCTAGATTAGTTTTATATTAAATAATAATATCAGGCTGTTTCATGTTTTTCCCAGCCTGAGAGAGCAGGGGTCAAACAGGCCTCGAATTAGGCCTCTGAGCTTTACAGTGACTGCACTAAAAATGGCTGTACGAATTTGTTTCTGCTTATTGCTGGTCAGAGAGGGGAAAAGATTATTTCCCTCAGGACTTAAATTAATTCCATCTCTTAAGCCAACAAACACTTAAGTATCCCTGGCAGTAAATATGATTGCCCATTTAAAAACCATTAGAACTAATCAGTTTCATTTCACAAGCTCATGCAGTAAAACTGATGGCTCATTGATGGCTCACTGATGGCTCAGCTATCTCATGATGGCCCATTATCAGGTCTGCGCAGATTCTCTTGGATCTATCTACTCTGCTGAACTGCTGAGACAATCTGAATCGGATTTTGCTGAAATGGAAGGACAAGCTGAAAAGAGGTAATGTTTGTGTTTGTGTATTTTCTGTTGAGCTCCATTTCAATGGTAATAGGACAATGCCCTGTTTTGCTGCATATTTAAGAGTATTTTATTTCTTTTTTTTTTTACTTATGTCTCATTCTTTCAGATCATAGTTTAAACAATGGATTCTATATCATGTAATTTTGTTTTTAAGGTCCGCTGATCATACCGTTGTCCACTGCTTGCAGTGCCACAAACCCCAGGAAAACCTTGCTGCTCACCTGGCCAGAGTGTGCATGAAGAAACGCACGCCCGAGGAGAGAGCGGCCGAGGTTCAGAAAGCCAAGGCTTCGAGCAGACAGTGGGTTTGGATGAACAGGACCTGGAACTACAACCAGATCTGTGCGCTCCTGCCTCATCACCGGTCTCGCGTCATCATGTTTCTTCAGCGTGGTTTTTTTATCACGAACCAACCCCGCGAGTCTGACTGTGATGAAGATGATGCTTCTGCTCCTTCATCTGATCTTCCTCAAACGTAAGGGCAATCCTTAAACATTTTAAATGTAAATTCTTTTCTCACTTTATGTTATTGATAACTTTAATAGTCTTGTCTGTTATGTTTAATCCAAACAGCCGGTTGGTTCAGAGGGCTCCTGGCATTAAACACTGCCAGAAGATCGTGAGAGTGGCGAAGCCGGACGTGCTCAGGATCCAGAGGGACCTCCAGGCGGGCAGAGAGCTCTCCAACACGGACCAGACGCTCTACCGCTATTACTGCGAGGCGCTCTTGGTGTTTGTCCACATGCAGCGTCCCACAGCTGTGGAAGCCTTGACGGTAAGTTCACTCTGTACACACTCTGTATGTGCTTTAATATTGGCACACTTGTGCATTTGTAAATAACGCCTTTTCAATATTTTCCAGGATGCCGAGTGGGTGAACAAGACCAAGCTGGGTGACAGATTTGTGATCGGCGTACAGAGGGAGAAAACCTCGAGTATGCAGATCGCTCTGAGGAGGAAGCTGTAAGTTTTACTGTACAAACTGTTGATTTCTCACCACCATAGTTTTAAATGGAATAACTCATCTGTCTTTTTTCCGTAGTGCTTGGAGCTGTACTTCAGACGAATCAGGCCTGAGAACATTCAGCCGGAGAAACTCTGCAATAGTTTCTTTGTTTCGTCATCCGGCGTGGAGGTTCAAAGTGTCTCTCGGGACATGAATCGGCTCCATAAATTGTAAGTGCCTTACACGGGTCCATGTGTGTGTGTGTGTGTGCGTGTGTGTGTGTGTGTGAACGGATACACTTCTTTGTATCTTGCCTCATCACAGTCACATAACAATTAATATTTCCTTTTTGTTTCTGCAGGTACAAGCTGGCTCCTTTCTCTGCTCAGTGTGTGCGGAGGGCTGTTGAGGAGGCTGCAGAAAAGCTCCCGGCGCAGCAACAGGAGGCGCTCCACCATTACCTGTCCATCAGCGCTGGTGCGGTCCGGCCGCAGGATGTCATCAACGCAGCTCTGCTGCTGGAATCATTAGTCAGGTATACATCTCTTCATCCAACCATGGCATTACTCATCACAAACAAAGTAACGTCATTCTGTCTTTCAGCACATTTCACAGTCCGCAAGCCTTCAGCCGCAAAGGTGGCACGGCTTATTACACAGGAGGGGTGGAAGGTCAACTGTCCCAAGCCGGAGGACATCGAACGGCTGTGGACACCACCTTCGAAGGCAGATGTTGAAGATGACAAGTTCATCCTTCGCTGTGTGTCTGAGCAGAACTGGTCGGGCATGGCCATAAAAGACTTTGGTGATGAGCGTGGTTTTGGTAAGAAAACCTTTCATTTGTCTTGTAAGGGCAGAAAAAAACAATAATGTAAAATGTACAATTTAGCAGCCAATAACTGCAGCAAGAACTACATTTACATTCTGAACTGTTTGTCTACATGTAATTGTCACCAGGTGACAATTGGGCGGAACAATGAACGCGGTGTTGTTTCCATGGGGAGCTAATTTAATGTAATACCCCGCCGGTTGCCCCATGAAAAACAGTTCGGCTGGATTCCGCAAAGGAGAAACGAGCGGCAGCTGTGAGATGGGCGGAGATTGAATCATCGCGTTCACGAGGGGGATCATAAAAGCAGATGTTCGAGTGAAGAGGGCAAGCGGCAGGGGACAGAGGAATCCACGGCAGGGAAGGAGCCTGAAAACAGCAGTTCAACCCGGATGGAGAAGGAGAGACAGCAGTAACAGTAAAGTGCCATTGGAGATCCTCATTATCTGACTCCGGTCTACCGTATATAAACGACCAGTGAATTTGCCCTGGATCTTTGTGCATTCTGAGGTTGCCTATTGAGGTCTTCTGTTTGATATTGTGGTAACCTTTTTATGGCAGTGGTGTGTGCGTAGTATACTCTCCATACAGTGTGGACACGCTGTTCCATCCAACCTGGTCTCACAGGATTCCGTGAAATGTCCACGGGCTAGGGCTGGGCGATATATCGAGTATGTACGATGTATCGTTATATTTTTTGAAACGATATGGAATGAGGCAATACCGTTTATATCGATACAGTAGTTTGAAATGAGCACATCTGAAAAATAGCGGAGGTTGCAGTGTGAGCTGCTGCAGTGAAAGTAGCTAGGCTACGTAGTACAATTTGTCCTAAACATGACACAAGCTTATATTAATTGCGTCAAAATCACTTTGATATAGTTAACAAGTTTAAGGCAGCTTGCCGCCCTGTCAAATGCTCTGACAGACACTGTTGCTGACTGACAGATATACTTGCGCTGTTTAATGCGTTTGAGATGTGGTGCTTTCCTCAGTGCTCAACTTACATTTCACATATTCTCCATCTGTAAATGTTAGAAAGTAAAGCAAATATGTCCATTTCACAACAAATATGTCCATGTCAGAAGAGGACGAGCTTCTGCAAGTGAATCTTCCGCTAAAATTCATGCTTCCTTGAACGAGCGCCGGCGCGCGCATGCGTGTGAATAGTACTACGTAGTACGCAATAATTCTGACTAAAATAAACATATTGCTAAAATATTTGTTGTTGGAGAAAATAAATGTGCCATATGTGGAATTTTAAACCTACAAGTATATATTTTTAATGAAAGTGAAAGTGATTATAATGGGGTAATCAAATGCAGGCTAATATAATTAGTTTGTGCTTTTGTTTTTGTTTTTATTTTAATTTTTAGTTTAGCTTTTAGTCAATAATAAAAACAAAAGCTTTTTGCACATAATATATTGCATAGCCTATATTATATTTGTTTCCATATCCTTCAATATCAACATTGTTTGTAGGATATCATTGGGCCGAATGTGAATATACTGTATATATATATATATATATATATATAATATTTATTTTTTTTATATATAAAGATTTTCTTTATCTAAATAGAAAACGTAGAAAGTACCGAGATATATATCGTATATCGCCATTTGACCAAAAAATATCGAGATATGATTTTTTGGCCATATCGCCCAGCCCTACCACGGGCCCTTAACTCAAAATCCGTGGAAACATCACGGAATCGCCGCGAATTCCGTGATGCGGCCACGGATATAACTCCAACGCAAGTCAATGACACTCACTTTCCGTGGTCCACACACGGATACCTGTTTGAATGACGGAGTACAGATCTCACCCAACGGACGTGCTTTCTCATTTGGAAACGCAACATTTGAAGTGTTATAGTTTCTTTTCCAACAATAAAAGCCATAATGACGTTAACCTCTTTATTACAGCTATTGCTCTGTCCTGCCGTCATACAAATTTAGTTTGTTTCAGTTAACCGATGTCCCGTGATGGCACCACGGACCTCAACAACCTGACCTCATGGACGTTGTAATGTGGCTGGCTTGTTTAGAAACTAAGCTTATGTCTACTCTATTACAATAATGGCATGTAATAACTTGACGTTTTGTCTCGTCCTCATAAAATCCAGTTTGATGGCGTTTACACCTATTTCTCGCTTGGCTACGGTCAGAACTAAAATCTGTGATAGCGGCACGGAGTGAGTCTGTGCTGATACCACGGATAACTCCAGCGCAAGTCAATGACACTCATCTTCCGTGGTCCACATGTTACACCCCTGAAAAAGGGGAGAAATAATCACGAGAGTGATACGAGTCAACTTTCCTCACTGAAAACTTTTACTGTTATCAGGAAAAGACCGCGATTTCCCCGGAAACTTGGGTGGAAGACAAAAGCAATCGATCGCGCCACATCGATTAAGATCACTTTGGCGATCACAGATTAACACATTTTACCCATAAATTAGGCACAACAAAATTAATTAATCACTCGAACGTTTACATGTTGCTCTATTAATTTTAACCCTTTGAAGACATGTCAGATGAACTTTTTTACACAATTATGTGGACTGAAATTATGAATTGTTTCATTATATAAATTGTTTCAATCCCTATTACTACAAGAATACTGGATGCATTACCTTTTTAATCTTAGATATTTTTAAAATCCTCACATCCTATTAATATTGCAGCAAGTATTTTTATAAACTGTCACACACACACGGATACCCGTTTGAGTGACGGAGTACAGATCTCACCCAACGGACGTGCTTTCCCAGATAGCAATTACATTTGGCCCGGATCCGTTTTAAGCCCCTTGCCTCCGTTTCTATCTTAGAGACGTTTTCTGATTGTGAACCAGATCCGTACCAGATATAAGTTTCAGCTTAAACATTCTATCTGCCATCAGTTCAGTATTTACCCAGCAAACAGGGGACGTCCTCCGGACGTTGCGAACGTCTAATTAGGTCCGGATCTGGTCCGCTTCATAACGTTCGCTGGGGGACGTTCGGAGGACGTCCGCATTTGGTCCGGTTTATAACGTTCGCTGGGGGACGTTCCGAGGACGTCCGCATTTGGTCCGGTTCATAACGTTCGCTGGGGGACATTCCGAGGACTTTCCGCATTTGGTCCGCTTCATAACGTTCGCTGGGGGACGTTCGGAGGACGTCCGCATTTGGTCCGGTTTATAACGTTCGCTGGGGGACGTTCCGAGGACGTCCGCATTTGGTCCGGTTCATAACGTTCGCTGGGGGACATTCCTAGGACTTTCCGCATTTGGTCCGGTACATAAAGTTCGCTGGGGGACATTCCGAGGACGTCCGCATTTGGTCCGGTTCATAACGTTCGCCGGGGGACGTTCGGAGGACGTCCGCATTTGGTCCGGTTTATAACGTTCGCTGGGGGACGTTCGGAGGACGTCCGCATTTGGTCCGGTTTATAACGTTCGCCGGGGGACATTTTGAGGACGTGCACTTTGACATTATGGTGCAAAACCATAAAAACAAGTGTTGGTGGTATAAAAATACTGCCTATTAGCATTTTTAGCACATGTTCAAATGAGATATGCTTGAGTGTTCGCAAAAACAATAATAAAAAAATCTGAAAAGTGCCATTGTCCCGGAGTGATAATCCTAGGAACGGGTCATAGCTTTAAAATAAGTTTTAGATTCATGCTTTAATAATGATATTTTTATTCAAGTAGGTTATAATTCTAATTTATGTTTGTAAATATATGACTTGATGCGTTTTAACGGGCATGCGCGTGAAGTTGAGTTGCCATGGAAACGGAGGGTCACCAGTGCAGACAGCAAAACTCCGACTCTCCCTGTTTTCTCTGCTTTCAGGTGAGTTTAGTCTCTAAAATCACACAAATAATACACACGACTGTTCTTGACACTTCTCTTAATTTTAACTGGCACGCTTCTGTTTAATATTTAACGTTACTTTATAGAAATGGGTTAGTGTCTTCGAAAAAATCCATTAGCATCACTAACCGTTTAGCTACAGAAGAGTTAACGTAAGGCTAACGTTAGCTTGAGCTTTTGTTTATGAATGTTTGGGCTTTTAATCACATTTTATGTGTTGATTAGAGGTTTTGATATTTTTGTAGCCTAAATATTTTGCTTGGAAGTGAGCTAAAAACGTATGTATTTAACATAAAACGTTACGTTTTATTACTGTTAATCGATGACGTCACTTACACGGCTGAAACTAGCTAATGGTTCATAAATATTGATAAAAAGAAAAATTATGTGATTTCAGCAGCAACAAGATAACTGTTGGCTATGTGACAAATGGTTTGTTGTGTTCCTAGATCGTTCCATGCTGATGCCCTGCTCAGTAGCAGAGTTGAACTGACCATCATCTGAACCTGGCAACCGGACACGCAAACAGACACGCTCTTTTTTGATAATGAAAATAAAATTATTTTGTTTCCTAATATTCCTTGTTTTGTGTTTGTTCCTTGGGTAGTTAATATGTTAAAAATACTTCTAGTGAACGTTAAAGTTCACTATAGAAGTCTGAAAAGTCCCCGAATGTTTGCTGAACGTCCCGCAAACGTCCCCCGCGACGTCATGTGAACGTCCGGCGAACGTCCCCCGCGACGTCCTGTGAACGTCCCGCAAACGTCCCCTGCGACGTCCTGAGAACGTTTAAAGAACCCTACACGAAGACGTTCAGGGGACGTTCGCAGGGGACGTCCTGGGGACGTGTTTTTGTTAGCTGGGTATACCATTTTACAGATCTGGCCCAGATCACTTTTCCGATATGTAACTGAAAGACAAGCTGTGTCTGACACTGATTTGGTCCAGAACTGCAATATGAATCTGAGCCGATACTGTTTTCACACTGGTGTGGCCCGAATCTGTGATACATATCTGAGCCGACTGCATTTTAAAAAGGGCTAAAAACTGTTCTGGCCCATATCTGCAAAACGAATTTGAGCCAACACTGTTTTGACAGAGACTACCTGATGTGGACCACATCCGAAATACTTTTCTCAAACTGTGTGAAGAACTCCGTGCAATAAACATTTTCAAAACAACATGGTTGTCTGCATATTTTTTTCTATCTAGAGCATGAGATAAATGTATTGTCATTAAGCCGAGCAATATTATTCGTGTTTAAAAACTATACAGCAAAATTTTGTGATGCTATTACAGCACAGC